ATTTGTCATTTTCCAGTATTGACAGAGTTCAAGTTTCTACACGACCTTGTAGGCGATTAATTATTTCCAAACCTACAGACCCCATATACGAAACGTCGCGAGCCACTCGCTACTCTTTCGCTATTTTCAAGGCAGATGTTCAGGCGAGTTATACATTCTTAGCTCCACAAGTCCAGACATTCAAAACTACGACTCGCCAAACCACGTACACTGAATCGTCTCATCTCCATTCGTTTCAATATTCTATTAGTGCAGAGGAAGTTCTACTCTGGCAGTTTCTTCGCCGGAACTGTTACGCTGTGGTACAGATTACCGAGATGATATTTCTCCGATCACTACAAACTTAACCACTTCAAGTCCAGTATGAAACTTTATCTGTTCCAGATATCCTTATAATATGCACCTAATCCCCCGTCTTTGTACGTACTTACAATAACCTTATTCAGTAACCCTCTACCTTGAGTGACTCTTGAGCCTTGTATTGGGTGAACAATAGTATAAAAAGCATAAAAAAAAATTCGCTACAACAACTGAGTATTTCGGCTATTATGCTATCAAAGTCAATTGAATTTTTGCTTATCAATGCCTTTTCTAACCCTATCTTCAGTGAGTCAGCAAACTGAGCACAATTTCTCTCTCAGTCCTTGCAAATATTCGACCAGTGTTATAATTTTTTTTTTTAACCTTCAATCTGAATATTATTAGAACGGACAAACTTGTGGGGGAAATATCTACCGTTTGAAAATAATTTTCTTTTATCATTTCACCCCAAGCAAAGCAATAAAGCCACTAAGACACAAATATGAGAAAAAGGAAGCATTATTAAGGAGAGAGGACAATAAAGTAACGGGAATGAAGAAGACAGAAGGTAACGATTGACACTGCATTTAAATCTTTGAAGATCAAAGTTGACTGGAAAGCAAGAAATTGGAAGTGCTCCACAAGTGAGAAGTGCGAGAAACGAAACTGTTAGCATAGACTCTACGCTTACATTTAGCTATTTCAACTGTGAAACGATGTGACCTTGTCGCCAATTTAGTACTCCGCTTAAATTTATAAAGTCTAGATATCATAGGTCAAAGTTCATCAGAACATTTATCATAAAAAATACTTAAAGAAAAGGCACAGGGAAGCTACATTGCGGTGGTGGGAAAATGACTGAGGCCGTGATGCCAGGTCAAGACCAGTAATTTTACAGATTCTTTTTTGTATTTTATCAAGACTCTCTAGCTAAATAGGCGAAGTACTAGGCCAGATTTGACAGCAATATTCAATGTATGGCCGAGTGGTAGACTTATAAATGTAGAATATAGATTCTGTCGAGAAAAAAATTGTCTAGCACGAGACAGTGAGCCAACATTCCTAGAAACATTCAATATAATCGTCCCACTTCAAATCAACGGAAAACGGAAGTCGCAATGAGTAACTCTCCTGGAGGTTAGCATCAGCCATGCCGAGAAAAAGCAAAAAGTTCTCTCAGACGATTAAAAGAGAGCAGTTTTGTTTTGGTGGCTTTAAAATTAACAAGCCATTTACTGTCCCAGTTAACAACAGGCTGTGTGTCATCTTTTAGCTCCTAGTGACACCTGTATTACTGCAAAAAGATCTAGAAGAGTCGCCGTTGAAGACAACTTTCATTTCGCAATTTGATAAGAAAGCCTGAGTCAGTACAGAAATTCGTTCAAATAGAGGTCTATAGATAGAAAAGCCGCAGGGAAACTACATTATGGCGATGGGAAAAGGACTGAAGTCGATATAACCAGGTCAGGACAAATAACAATGCAGATTCTATTTGGGATTTTATCAAGAATCTCAAAATGTATAGCAGAAGCACCAGACCATATATGGTAGCAATATTCAAAGTCTGGATGAATGGTAGACTTATAAATGTTTAAGATAGATTCTGGTGAGAAAAATTGTCTAGCACAGTGAACCAACTTTCCTAGCAAAGTCCTAGTAATTGATTCAATATAATCTTCTCACTTCGTGTAATCGGAAAATGTTGGCCCGAGAAGGCATAACTGGTCACTCTTATGGAGATTGGAATTAACTATTGCTGGTAGAAAGCAGAAAGGGATATCCCATTCCTGGCCCCAATTAACAACAGGTGTAGGTCATTTTTTTAGCTCAGCTGCCAATTTGATTTTATCGAATCGATGTAAGATATGAGTAAATAGTTGTGTCATCAGCATAAATACCGAATTGAGAACTGATGACATCAGGAAGATCGTTGATGAAAATTAGGGACAGCATCTGTCTTAGGATAAAACCCTAGTGACACCTGTATACTGCAAAAAGATCTAGAAGAGTGTCCATTAAAGACAACTTTCATTTCGCAATTTGATAAGAAAGATTGAATCATTTCAGAAATACGTTCAAAGGCTATAAGTTTATAGATATATTTATAGAAAAGTGACAGGGAAGATACATTATGGTGATGGGAAAGGGGTTGATAATATCGGGAAGGTAGTTGATGAAAAGTCTAGGTCCAAATGGAAATATCTGCATTTATGATCTAGAGCAGTCCATACTTTCATTTCGAGATGTGATAAGAAAGATTGAATCAAACCAAAAATTTGTCCCAAATAACCATAACCACTCAACTTGTGAAGAAGACCATGATGCCAAACCCGATTAAATGATATCGAGATACCCAAAAGCAACAACCGCATGCTTCACCATTCTTATCTAAAGCTTGATAGACTCTTTCAGCAATAACCATTAATACATCAGCAGTTGACCTAGAGAAGCGAAAGCCATATTGCTTATCTGAAAAAAAAAAAAGACCCTGCAATATGAGATGCAATAGTCTCTGGTGGTTTTCGATCAAGATCAAATGAGAGCAAATCTTCGGGATACTCCTGTATTATCAGCACAGATACTGAATCGAGAATTGATAACATCGTGAAGGTCGTTGATGAAAATTAGGAACAAAGAAGGTCCAAGAATAGAGCTCTGTTGGCCACAATTAAAAAGATCTAGAAGAGTGGCCGTTCAAGATAACATTCATTTCGCGATTATGTCAGAAAGATTGAATCAAATCCAAAATTTGTCCAGAAATTCTATAAACTTTCAACTTGTGAGGATGTGCAGCATGCCAAACCCTGACAAAAGTCTTCGTGGTCCTTACCATTCTTATTTAAAAGCTTGACAGACTCTTTCCGAAATAACCGTTAATACATAAGCAATTGATCTAAAGAAGCGAAAGTCATATTGTTTGTCTGAAAGGAGACCTTACGACGTGAGATGCTTAACTAATTTGAAGTAGATTAGAACCTGGTGTTGTAACTTCTTATAATAGCTGCAAACAAATTTGCCGTGAGTGCAATCCTAATTTCGTTCTCATATTTGTGATCCAGTACTCTTTGAAAGGTTTTTATAAATGCCTACCCAGTTTAGGACGTATCACGTTTCTTTTGAGTTATGAATTTTGAGCAAATTTTATTGCATCTGACACAGAATTAAGACTGTTTTAAGATCTGACCAAATTAACATTTATAGAGATATTTCTATTTAGAAAAATATCTTGTGGCATAATTTTGAGACACCCTGCTAAATCTTTGTCAACCATTTTGGACATGAGTCATTGTCTCCCATATTGTTCGTACACGCATTCTCCTCATTGTTAACTTATCACTAAGTTTTCATATGGTTCGTTCTTTGCTTTATTCCAGGGACATTAATTATTGGATTTTGGAAAAAAAAAAGTTCTGTTCGAAATACAAGCATAAAAAAAAACAAAACTTTCAGGCAAAAATCAATCCAAGAGTGAGAGTTGTCAAAAATGTTCGACGACTTCATTTGAATTCAAATTCAATCAGGCATCTTATCAAAACGGGCATTTTTTAATGACAGAAAATAAATATTTTAACTTCTGTAATTATAAAATAAAAATCACAAAGATAGCAGAAAAGTAATTTTAGTCGCTGAAAAAAAAAAAAGTCTATGATCGCGTCGAAATTATTCCTTCCATTGCACCAAAAGTCTATGACCATCACTAGAAGGACTTCAGAATTTTCATGAAAAATAACGACTAAACTAGTTATATGAAAAAGATATCATTTTAGCTGGTTTAATCCTTTCCATCCTGCTAATCAGAACGAAAGTGAAGGACAGGGAAAAGATGAAAATCAAGATAGAAAATGGAGATATAAGAAGGTAGAAAAGAGAAGCATAAAGAAAAGAAAGAGGAAAAGGAAAAAAAAAAAGCAATGACAGAAAGAAAGTGTTATGAGACCTTACCCATAATAATATAATGGACTATGCCATACGTAATAAATACTGCGCCTCAAGAGGAAGCAGGGAATTCCGCCTGACGTCTGGAGTGAAGTCCGTCAAGAGTCTGTCAGTCAGTCAGATCGAGTCAGTCAGTCGAGTCAGAGGCAGTCCGAAACAGAGTCGCGTTCAGACAATTACTACTAAACCTGATTGTTCGTACTAACACTTTCTTCTTCTCTGTATATATTCCCGTTTGTAATATATCTGTGTTATTCCATATCCGCCTTCGAGGTCTTCTTTATTGGTTCTACCTTGGACTATCACCGTAGTACAAAGAACCGGACCATAAAAGAAAGGAAACTGTCATGGGTCCTTACCTATAACTACAGAATGAACTCTTCCTAACACTATGTATACTATGCCTCTCAAGAGAGGGTCGAACCAAGCTGAGCTTCTCGGCTTGACAGTCGAACTCTCTGCCTCTGAGCCGAAGGGCAGAGTCTCGTTCGGGGAGGTTGACCAACCCGATTCTGTTTTTACAGTTTCTACGAGTATTTTTTGGCCGAGCCTACGGGCTCGGAAAACCCACGTTAAACTCAGCCTTGTGCCACATCTTTCCCTCGGGAGGGGGGGAGTAAATATCGAATCGAGTCGAGCCGATAGTAGTTCACTTCAAACCAGACTGACAGTCATACTAACACCTTCCACATCTTTCTATTATTATTTCGTGTAATATACCTTCGTTATTTCTACTCTTGTATTCGTGTTGTTCTTCCTTGGTCCTAACCTGGACCATAACAGAAACTATATAAGAGTAAGAAGTGAAAAGCCAGAGAGAAATGCAAGGAGAAGGTAGGGAAGAAAACGAAGAAGGAAAGGGCGAAATGTGAGAGAGAGAGAGAGAGAGAGAGAGAATTGAATATATCGATAAGAAAAGTGAAATTATTAAAAGTAAGAGACAATGAAAGATAAAATGTATGAAAGAAAATGAAAAGGAAAAAAGTAGAAGAGAAAATAAAAGAGGAGGTAGATATGAAAACAAAAAAAAAAGCGTCGGAAGACGAAATTCTCGATAGAACGAAAGAAAGATTTTGATAAGTAAAAGAATACCAAACGCAAGCGAGAAAATAAACGAGAAAGAAGAAGCAGACGATAAAATCTTAGAGGGAAAATTATATAGATATAAGACAAAGAGGACTATAAAGAGAGGAAAAGGATAAAAAAAAGAAAACTTAGAATAGTGAGGACGAAAGGAAGAGGCATTTAAGAAAAAGAAAAGAGAAACGGCAAAAAAATAATTAAATAAAAAGAAAATAAATGATGATGTAAAGAAACATAATAATAATAATAATAATAATTCGTTAATTGAAACTTTTAATAGTATAGCTTAAAAGAAAAACTGCATTTTCATGTGTTAGTTCGTTGATATTCGATTGTTTTTTACTGTCCATGCCCTCTTCCCCTTACCTGTCCTCCTGTTAACTCAGGCAAAGCACTATGTCTGTAATTTGAATCTTAACTGAGGAAGCATCTGCCGTTTCCTTTGATCTTACGTCATCCGTTTTTCCACTTAGTTCTGCTTCACTGGATGAGGAAGACAAATAATTGTAAGCAAAGTAAAATTGGAGGAATGAAGATTTTGGTGTTGTGTGAAATTGCCCACCGTACACCACACCCGATATAATCAACTTGACTTTTTCTTCGATCATCACTGCACTTCTGGCTGCCAAGTAGGAAATTAGTTTTTCTAAACATTCAAATTGCTTATTCGTTTAAAAAAATTGTAACCAATTTTCACAATTATGAATTTCTGCTCATCGTCACAGAATGCAAAAAGATAACTTTTTTGTTACTTACAAACGGAGAACTGAGTAAAAAATGTTGGTGAATAAGACATTTCTACTGCTCTCTTTAAGACAGTTTTACTCTCATGATCAGTTCTTTATAAATAAAAATTCGAATAAGATTTTTTTTTTACTTTAAATGTTCCTTGAAAATAATAAAAACAAACAACATAGAGGGAATTTTGGAAGAATAAAAACTCGTTATTCAAGATTTATTTCCCGATCTTGTAATAGTCAGACTGAAAAGCAGAAGAGTATTCCTTGATTATGGGAAATGGCATTGAAATTTTTTGAAAAATGACGGTGACCAAAGAAAATAACATCTTTGATTTTCATTGTTTTGTAAAGCACGAATAGAAATATTTACTTTGCACGAGTGTGAATTCACTTTATGATGTATGAATTATTGCTGTGGAGACCATTTTATTGAAACTGAATTGGCTTCTTTAGATTACAACAAATCTGAAAGAAGGTAGAATTCGCAGAATGAAGATCCAATTTGCGACAAGTTCTATCAGCATGCCAAAAAAAAAAAAAAAAAAAGAGCTAACCACTGTTTTACAAGTAGGTGATTGTTTATAAAGATTTTTTTCTTTTTTGAAAATTTAATAGAAAAAAAGAAGAAAAAAAAAAGGTGTAGAATTCTTTTATTGCCGCAAATTTAAACTGATTTTTTTCTGTCATGTCCAGAATTTTGCTTTTCTTCTAATGCTATGAAAATTGTTTCGTTGGACACAGGATCAAATAGTGAATAGATAAGAAGGTTGTGTTGCGTTAATTTTCTAAGTGAAAGAATACATGCTTTAAAAATCAACATTCCAAATCCACTTTTCAGTTATTTATTTTACTTTGGCTGGAATATTAGAACTCTACTAGGAGATAGGCAATTAGTTCAGCCATCAGAAATTCTTCGCAACAAAAGCCAAGCATCCACTGTTGATCAGAAAATTAACTGAAGTTAATATGACGAGTTCAGATGTTTCATTCGAGTCGTCTAACACTTTTCTTTTATTCATTCTAGAGTTTTGTGATGGTTTGAAAAGTTTCGGAATAAATCATAAACCCAAACCCTGTCCTGAATTGTCAAAAATTAAGTCAATTCTGCTTATGGGATAAAAAAAAAAAAAAACACTAGATTTGGTTGGTATCAAGACTGTTCTTTTTTAGGTATACAAATTTAAAATGTTGTTTGATACCAGGAAAATGTTGAATCTCTAAAATTAAAATAAATTCTGGAAATATATTACGTCTTTGCCTCGCTTACAGAGGTAAAAAAAAAAAAAAATTGTTAGAGAAAAGTCAATTCGCCTGACCTCCTCAAACCAAGTCAGCTTCTTAACTCACAAAACGAATCCTTCAACCGTAACCCGTTTTATCCCCATATTTAATTTCACCCAGACTCAGTTTGAAATCACAGCCAACATCGGGTTCAGAATGTTCTTTTCACTCATTGAAAAATATATTTACTTTGGTAAAATGCTAATTTATCTATACGCAATTATGCGTAAGTTATTTTTGGTGAGGATTTTTCCATTTTTTTTTTCAATCGGTGAATTCGTCACAATTTGAGGGTGGTAATTTTATTTACAAAAATGCAATTATTTTTCTTTATTTCAAACGTTTAATGTTTTATTCTTTTGGCTTGATGAATCTACACCTTTTATTTTTATATCTTTGGATCTTTAGTCTTAACTCATTCTAGTCTGACACAAGTGTTGCTAACCAAATAGAGGTATATAATTCACTACAATTGCCAAATAGCTTACTATACACTACTCTATAGACGCGTATTCAAAGGATGTGTTTTTTAAAGTTTTAAATGGATTATTGTTTGTTTTTTAAACATGTATTAGGCTCCAAAACAATCGTTTCATTTCCAAAAAGACTCGATAGATTCTTCTGAATGAGCAGAAATGTAGAGTCGAATGATGACAAGACTTCAATTACCAAGACGAAAACTTCAGAAGAAAAATCGAACAAAATTGAAACCAAAATGAAAATAAAATCTAATAAATTAAAATAAAATGAAGCCAAAATCTTCAAGGAGGGAGAGAGAGAAAGAGGCAATCAAATGTTTTTTTTCCTAATTGGTTTCGAACTATCGATCCTAGTTCAAAATTCTTAAATAGATGATTAAATAAATTTCACTGGAGATAAAGGCATAAAATACTCTTAAGATACTTTCTAAACATAACAGAATCCAGAGACTACTCCTAAAAAAAAAAAATCTTGATTATTATAACAAGAAAATTTGTAATTTTTCAGCAACGATAGATATTTGTGTGGAGTTAGGGAGAATAATGTCGAAACTTTGTTGTTTTTTAATCAATTTTTTTTTTGGCAATTGTCATCCTCGGAACAATCGCTTGATTCCAGCGATTATTTAGGTTAGATAATCGTCTATTTAGGTAAGTCATCGTCTAGTGAACAGATACATGGCTAGACAAAACGAGATCGTTGTGATAGTTCGAACATCCTTTTGAAGTCGACAAGATTATTTCATCATCATGCACTTCTCCTTATGAGAGACCACGTTCCCGTTTCTAAATTAACTGAAATAAGTAGATGAACGTGATAGGTGATTTAAAAGTTTTCCTCTCACAATTAATTGCGTGAAGCGACGAAAATGTGGTTCTTCAGAAGGATGCTAAGGATATCATAGACCAAGCATGTGAGCAAGGATGAGGTCTTAGAGAGGTTACAAACAAGGAGGAGGCTTATACTTAACATAAGAAAAAGGCAGTTGAAGTTTCTGGGACACATAATGAAGAAAGAGGACCTGGAGAAGCTGATACTCACGAGTCGAATTAGAGGGGAAAAGAGACAAGGGAAACCAGCGCGTGACATACCTAACGAGATTGTGCAGGTGGATGACAGAACGTGGTCTGGGGGAGGAAACACAGGGAAGGAACTTGCTGAGAGCTTCAAGAGATAGAAGGAGGTGGAGAGCCATGATCGACTACGTTCTGAAAGAACGTGGCATATAAAAAGAATGCACATACCTCGTTAAAGAGACGTCAACTCTACTTTGTAATATAAATAAAAGCAAATACTTAGTAAAAGTTCACCTCTGCGAATAATTTCCACTGGACATCGTCCCGAAAAGGTAATGTCTCTCAGAAATTGAGCCCTTAGATTTCGAAGTTAATTTCAAAGGCAAACCAGAATTGTCTAATTATTAGGTTGGTGCTGTAATAATGTCTAATTATTAGGTTGGTGACGTAATAATGTCGTTTTTTGACGTGTTTTCAACGTCAAAAAACGACATTAATACGTCATTATTTTTGCACCAACCTAATAAATAAAAGGAAATGAGAGATTTCTTTCAGGTTTTACTATTACAATAAAAGGCACATTTTTGACAAAACTTAGCAGTTTTATCTCAGCCATCTGGTCTGTTTTGTTTCTCTTAAAAATTCGGATCTAAACGTTAATGATTAAAAATGCTGTTCAAAGTATGTAAATATCCACCTGACTCTACTCGATCTAACAGAAACTAATGTGATCTGTTCTAGGCGGTCTTTGCTAATTTTTTAAAGTTTGTAGGAGGAGGAACTGTATCGAATCTTCCAACCCACAGCAGAAGATACAACTGAAATTGGAAGTAATTTACTACGTAATATCATCGAAGATAAGAATGACGTAAGTCATCTTTACTCCTTTTATGTAACATATCTTCAGGACGTAGACAATCATGACTCTCCACAACTTCCTGTGTGTTGTTGGGCTAAGCCATATTTGACTTTAACACCTCCCCTTGTCTCGCTCTGTCACTAATTCAGCTAAAATCATTAAGTAGCTAACTTACTGTATCCCTTGTATTTCTTCCTTCAATGTCCTTTGAGTGTTAAATTTTCCAAGACTCTTCCCCACTCCCCCATCTCTTCAACTTTCTCTTTCTGATCAACTTTACTAGTGGTTGGATATGGCGTGAGAAATTAAATTTAATACCTTCCTTTTCCATATATCTAAAGCATCATTTTGGAAAGTAAAAATTCTATTGAGACATACAGAAAATTTTCCAAGTTTTCATCTGAAATCAACAAAATATGAATTTTAAGCAAAAATGGTCACAAGACTTAGAAAAATAAAAGTGTCAGTTGAAACTAACTACAGGAGGATATTGAGATTAAGGGATGAAATCCTTTGTGACTTTTAATTCATTCCAGTGAGATTGCGTTTTTATCCGACTATGAGGATAAAAATTTAGAAGGGAAGTAAATCTTTAAACCATGCAATATGACAAAGCAAACTTTGCTAAAGAAACGCAAATTCTATCAGCCCGAGTTAAATTTATGTCACTATCATTTCCTTTAAATTATTATGTTATGCATCGAACAAACGCCAGTCGTTACTGTTTGGGGAAGTAAAATTTGCGTGTATAAGTTGTTTTTTTTTTTGGTGGTGGTGGTGGGGGGGGCTCTACTTTGAAGTCGAATATATACATTTTTTTTCTAGATTTAAAATGTTAACCTTGATTTGAAATGAATGCACATTTTTTTCAGTATTTTTTCTTTCCTTTGCCCAAGAAATAAAAGCTTTCTTGGTTTCTCTATCACACCGTAAATGCACGATTTAGCGCCCGGGAACTTATTTAAAAATGTTAAAGAAAGAACATTTTGATTAAATCAAGTTGTTTTTAAACTCCCAGATCCAAAAATTGCCTCTTTTCGTTTCTCATCTATATTCGTTTAGTCGCTTTGCGGTGCTTAAATTCCTTGGGGAAAGATGGCGCGCTAAATCGAGCATTTACAGTCGCTGTGGTTCTTTGCTTTTATTACACCTTCAGTGTAGAAAGATGTCATCTTGAACAATGAAGTCTTTCTTTTTATGTGCCATGTCCTTTCAGGACGTAGGCGATCATGGCTCTCCACCTCCCTCTATCCCTTACAGCTGTCAACAAGTTCCTTCCTCGCCCAGACCACTTGCTTAAGACCGCCAGGTATGTCACACATTGTTTCCCCTTGTCTCTCTATTCGACCCGTGAGTATCAGATTCTCCAGACCCTCCTTCTTCATTGTGTCCCAGAAACTTCAGCTACTTCTTCCTGATATTAAGTATAAGCCTCTTCCTAGTTTGCGACCTAAGACCTCATCGTTGCTCACACGCTCTGTCCATGAAATCCTTCTGTAGAACCCCATCTCCGTCGCCTCGAGTTTCTTCTTCATCTTTGAGGAAATCGTCCAACATTCGCTGCTGTAAAGAAGGACATATGTTACGTAACAGTTCAGTATTCTTTTGTTTGTTACCAAAGATATCCTCTTGTCTCGCAATACTCTGCCCAGATCTTAGAATGTGTCCTTGGCCATCCCAATACGCCTACGGATCTCAGTGTCGCACTTACCTTCTTCTGTCAAGGCACAAGAACGAAAGACAAAACTATATACGTATTCAAACGCTTAACGAAAAAGTCCATTGCAATATCTTCTAGTATTGCTTGCATTTTTAGACTGGAGCTAGTTTCACTTAATTGTATGTTTAATAGTTGATGTCTTAATTCGGTATTATTAGCACGACAATATTCACTTACAGCTCGATTATACGTATTCCTTTTTATCTAAAACAGCTAACATGATACTGGTCGTGAGGGTATACTGTAGGTGAAAAAAGTTAAAAGCAAATGTCAGGGACTGAATACAAACGACCAAAACATTAAACGAAGAATTCATTGTTGGAAGCGGATGAAGATTGCAGACGCCATTGTAATAATGCATAGTGGATGAAGAAGTAGCAGATGTCTTACCAGCGCCAGTGTTCGAATTCTGATAAAACGCCAAGATCTTGTTTGATTTTTCACTTGAAGAATTGGCGTAACACGATCTTTCTACACCGCAAGTATCCGCCGCCACTTAGCGGCTCTCATCATTGGAGTTTTTGTTGAAAACGTTTTGACTATAAAATACCTAGTCGCTGCTTAGAGTCTTGTATATTAGAAAATCTTTCAATTTCAAACGTCGTAGAGGATTAGTCATTTTGTAGAGAGAAGTTTGTCTGAGCTGGTGTCGGAATAAAAATAAATACAACTAAGAACCGGTTTTTGGAATAACAATCCGCCAACGAAAAAAAGGTTAATTTGCGTCTTAAATTTGATAATCATTTGTAACCAGGTAAATTCAAAAATGGAATGACTTAATAAAAAAACATTTTTTTCTTTTTGTCATCATCTTGATTAAAGTGTTGCAAGCTATTTTATTTTAGTTCACATAGCACCTGTTCGATAATTGTATGCTGGAATTAGAATGAATTCGACTCAACAATTCACATTGCCTGACAAGTTTAAACAAAACATCTTTTGCGTTTTGTTAAAAAAAAAAAATCATCTGCATTTCCTTCTTCTCCAATGTTCAATTGAAGATGCGGAAGTTTAGGAAATCTCTACAATGGGAAAGATGATAATACTGATAATATAATTTCTAATACTGGCTTTGAAGCGTCTCTCCCGTATTAAGTTTTTGACAGTAGACAACAAATGTTACTGAGGATATGATTTAACTGTAAAACTTTTTTTTTTTTTTTTTTTAAGCAAAATCATCTTTAATCTCTTGCAAAGATTTTTTTTTATTTTAATATAAAAATTCCACGTTGAAAATATTGTGCATTTTCAGAAAAGATGAATAGCCACTTTGCTCACCTTGACTAATTTGAAAATAATATTAAGTTAAAAATGATTAATAAAATTAAAGCCGTTTAAATGAAATGTTAGCCGCTGTGGCAAGAATGCAGTTATTCCCCTTGATGATACAAATAACTTTTACCGTTTAATACCAACTAGTGTAATTGCATAGTCTTTATCTGTACCTGACCAACCATGCAACAATTGTGAAAAGCGCGTTTTATGCACACAAATAAGAGAAAAAGGGTTTTTATCCGATTCTAGCAGAAATAAAGTGCAGGATTATTTTTGTTTGAAAGGACAGGGGAAGACAAAGGAAGTAATCATGTATACAAGTTTATGTGTGTATGTGTTTTAAGCAATTACAGGAGGGGGGGAGAGAGAGAAAGAGAAGGAGAAAGAAAAAAAGAAAAAACTAAATGCAGTTTTTATCTTTGAACCTAAATAGAATTTGGTATAAACGAATTAAAAAAAAATAACAACTTTTGTTTTTTTTGTCAAGAATACACTTTAATAGTTGCATTACAAAATAAAAACTGCAAGTTGTTTACAGCCTGTAAGGATAAATATCACTTTATTTTGCATAATTTTTGTAGCTTTGTACAGGAGGAAAATGTTTCAAGATGGAAAAAAAAAAAAAAAAAAAATGTATTAGGAAAAAATGGGGTAGGGCTGGGGGAAGATATTTGTAAATTAATTTGAGTTCTGCGAGCCTCTTTTTCCTTATCTGATTATTACTAATCAGACAGAGGAAAGACCGCTTTGGTGTGTATGTGAGAGAGAGAGAGAGAGATATAGAGAGAGAGAGTGTGAGAGAGTGGCACATTTCCAATTGCTCACATTTTGTGTCAGTCCATTTAATGTCCATTGCAGGTGGAGTGGGCAAGTTATGTTCAAGATAGTAGCAACTGGGAGATTTAAGAAATAACTAGCACCAGACTTAGGAACATAAAAAAAAAAAAAAGTCTCCCATTAGTCACCTTAGAGAAAGGTTCAAAGGAGAGCTGAAGAAAGAAGGCAGTGGGAAGGATGGAGGAGTTAGGGTCTATTTTTTTGTAGAATCATCGACAGCTGGGTTGTCCCCTTCTTGAGCAACACACACACACACACTTTTTATACAAATTCTCAGAATATTTTAGTAACACTTATGTGTCTGCAAGTAAAATTCTATTTGGAATTTTATGCAGACAAACTCTGCTATAGGCAGCTTCAGTCTAAGGGATTTGGAAAACTACAACCATTTTCCTATTTTACATTCACTAATCACAAGATTCTGTATATGGTATGTGGAGTGACTTTCCATCCTCACAACCTGGCTTTATGCCTAAGGACTGAATTTCTTTTTTTTAGAGAAAACAAGGCTATAGAAATTGCATACCTACATAATTCCTTAAAATTTAAAATTTTTTATATTTATATATATATATATATATATATATATATATATATATATATATATATATATAAATAAAATAGAATGTATACTACTTTTATCACAGACTTATAATGATAAACTTATATGGTACATAAGAGGCGCCGGCGGGAGGAGGAGGGGGGGTAACAAAAATAGAAACCAGCCATTGATAAGACAACTATTTTTTTTTGTTGTCCTTCAACTAATAATTTTCAATTTTCAGCCCTGGCAAACTGAAAACTTTAGTTTCATAAGCCAGCTACTACCTGTTTCAAGTCTCTCTCTCATTCATACACATCCATTAATCTTTCTTTTCCCAATACTCTAACATTTTTTTGTAGCACCTCTTGCTGACTCAACAATGACAAGGTGTAACATTAAAAAACAAAACAAAACAAAAAAAAAAAACAAATACATTGGAAACTGTATATATTACCCACTCAATATGGTATGCTATGCAAAGTTACTGTTGCTGGTATCAGGCTATACATCTAGCACAAACTTAATGCTATGCAAAGATGCTGTGGTGTCCTTGTGAAATAATTACCAATGAATAGACTTGATAGGTAGGTTTATTAGTAGGAGGAGTAGAGAGCAAAAGAGAAGAGTAAGTGTTTGTATACACACTATGTCAATATGAAAACTATTTCAAAAACAATACTTGGATTCTTTTCTTTCTATTGTCATCAGTTTGTCATGTTTATATCCAACAATATAGACAGGAGGCAATTGGTATAATTTCAGTTTTCTTGTGTCTTATCATTTTAGGTTATGTCACATTTGGCAACAATTAAAGCTAGCAATCAATAAATGCAGAAATACGGGGAAGTAAATTTCAGAAAACCATTTGTAAGAGAAAAAAAAAAAATCAGTTAGTGCAGATATTAATGACCCAACCTTAACTCATACTATCCTCTTTTTAGTGTTATATCTGCTCTTGGATTTGAGTTTGACCTTTAAAATTAATTTAGTTAGATGGTTAGTTTCTCGTCTGTACAGAAGGGAGAAAAGAAAAAAAACAAACAAACCTTCAAACATGATAAAATATTGAAATATATTTAAGTTTATTTATAATGATGATATAGATATTTTTAATTTTTCAAGACTAATTATTATTAAAACTCAATAATCTTAGTTATAAGACATGTAATGGCTTTTAAGCTTGTACTTGATAGCAGTGTGTCAGAAGCACACAATATTTTTAATTTGTAAAACTATAGTATTCCCATTAAATATGGCAAAGAGAATATACTGAAAAGACACTGGCATTAAGAGAAAAAGTAGGAGAGAATAAAACAAATTAAGTTAAATGCCAAACTATTTTAGCCCAATGAGTAAAAAGTATAAGCAACAGAAATGTAAAAGCTGAAGTTGCACCAGTTTCTCTAAAGATGAATTGAAACAAATCTATGAATGACTGCAAAGAGACAAACTAATTCATCTTTGAAGATTGAATAAAATTTAAAAAACTTAAAATATCATTTTGATGCTTAAAGAAAAGATATTTTGAAGGAAAATGGAGCAGTGGCAAGTTTATCTTTGGTTTGGCAACTTTGAACTAAGAATAAAAGATTATATACAGCATCAGAATTACAAACAAGTACTGAGAAAAATGCTGAAAATTTTTTTAAATTGTTGGAGAAAATTAAGATGGCAAACTAATAATCATTTTGGAAAACAATACCAATAAAATCTATCTGATGAAGTATCTCAGCCTCGATACAAAGATGCAGTATAGAAGGTCACTCAAAACTTAAGCCTATGACAATACAGTACTATGAATCAATGATTTAAAAGAGACTAATAATCAAACTATCGATTATATGCTATGAGAATATAAATGCATGCATAAGCGAATGCCCTTTTAAAGACAGGTTCATTTTTTATTATAGCTCAAGAATTGAATTGAAAGAATAAGAACCTTAGTTTTAAAACATTGGGGATTTTAATGAAACTGTAAAAAAAAATTGCATTTCTACCATTTAATACATTATTATTGCAAGTGATGGACCAAGGAACTCATGCATTATTTAAAGCTTATTTTTCGAGGACATTTACACAAGCACTTCAAGCAGTATTAATAGAAAATGGAATTTTGAAAGAAATACAGTAAGAAGCAGTCCATTGAAAGAAAACATGTAATTTTAATACTGAGAGGTTATTTCAAGCAATATGGAAGCAGTTTGGAAATAACTTTCGTCCTATTGTGCAAATGGTTTTCTTGGTTTCAACCCCATATTCAAAATATCTGGAAAGAGAACTGCTATGGAAAACAACAGCACAGCACGGACAAAGAAAACGTGATAATTACTTGATTCACATGTAGAAGAATTACACACACACACACACACACAAAAAAACAACAACTTGAAAACTAAACTGAAAAACAGCTAAAGAAATAATTATAAAAGAACTTCCAGAATGATTTAATGGCAAAGTCTTTTAAAAAAATTTTTTATTTAAATGTTGATCCTAAAATGAAAAGAAATATTGAAAGACATTTGGAAAAAGCAAATGCTAATTATAGAATATTGTGTAATGTGGTTGGGGGTGATGGGGATTTTGAACAAATATTTTTCTTAGGTAAAGAAGTATGATTCTAAAATAAATGAAAATATTTTTTACTGTCAGTAGTTTTTAGCTTTATATGTACCTTAAGATTTTTATTCACAAGTTTTAATGGATGATCTGAAATAATGGAATTTCATTGAGATGCTTTCCACTGATTCTATTAATTGCACAGTGTGAATTCATCTTCTGTAAGTAAAAAAAATTGTATGAACTGTGGCTAAAGTGAGGCTTGCCTGTACTGTCAGCAAATGACAAGCATAAAGATAAATGCTTATGGTTTCAGTTTAAAATCTAATGATTTTTGCTCATGCTATCAGCTGCAACAAAAGAAGCCGTTAGTGTGATGGAAAATGACTAGAAACCTTTAGTAAAGGAGGTAGGATGAAACTGCAAAATGGAGAAATCCCCCATCCACACATTGTCTTAATATTAATGCCAAAAATTATGCCTAAAATTGCAGATTTAATTGGTAATGATATTTGTATGAAAACTGATTTTTTTGGAACTTTTGCAAAAAGCTGAAAATATGACACATGTAAATAATTCCTTTTCTCTATGTAGAAAAAAAAAAAAGAAAAAAAAGTGTTTATGTTGACTGCGGATCAACAATTGCTCAGTTGTCTAAATAATCTAATGAAAAAACTATGCCCTGCCAATTCAGTTGGAGAGGGTGAGCAACACAGTAAAAGCTGTTCCCTAATGAAGAATAAGACTTATTAACAACATCCACCAAGGGCTGCTAGATTAGGTTATTCTAGAAATCCCTGTGTTATCAAAATCTGAATAGTCTTAGTTAACCAAAAGGTTACAAATGATCAAATTCAAAATCTGGTTGTGTTGAGCTTTTAAAAGTATCCTCATCTGGTAACTGATATGACCTTTGTCAGTCAGTGTTTCTATTCTAAATAGAAAAGAAAATCCACAGGCTATCAGGAAACAAAATTTAGTCTTCAAAAAGTGCAGACACTAAAAGTGGAAGAAACAAAGTCTGTAAAGAACTCCATGCAATAAAATAACTGAACAAGTTAAAAGAACAGCTACAATAAAGCATGTAAGATGACTGTCAGGGTAGAAAGAAAGGGCAAAGTTATAGCTTTGGACCATACACAAATACTTTAAAATTCTTATTCTTACTAAAGATTATTTGTAAGGATCAAGAAAATGAGTTGGTAGTGTGTGGAGGGGGAGAGGCTACTTATTGAAGAAATACTTTAGTCAAAATATTAAGATGCAAATTACCAATTGGCTATATTAAGGGGAAAATAGCATGTACACACATCAAGTTATGATCAAACTCCCCTGAAACACATCCATCTCAGTAGGATTTCCAATCAATTATCTACTCACCTTTTGAGGCTCCTCTCACAATGAGGTGAATAAACAAAAAAGATCTACACATATGCACACACAGTTAAGGCCTCTGTTTACAATCATGAAGTAAAAGGAAAGGATTATAGAAGCCTTGCTGCTGAAGTGAAAAAAACCAGACATTCCTTGCTTTCTTGCTCTACTAAAACTGAACATAAATTCGCATGCTTTCAAATGCTTGATGCAGAAAATCTTCACTGGGCAGTTTAATGCAGCTGATCAAACAGTGTAGTCAATTTCTGCAATAACCTTTTCTTTCCAAAATGTTAAAGAGGAAGAAATCAAAACCAGGGACAAAGTCTTTCTATTACTTATCATTTCAAAGTAAATAGTTTTAGGTTGCGCCTTATTAATTTGAACTACAATGCTAGATTATGAAAAAAGTAAGAATGTTTGCAAGAGAAGACCAATAAACTGTTTTATGGCAGGGGAATTTGAGGATAAGTGTAAGATTTGAAGAAAATAAAACCACT